AGCAAGACCGGGAGAGAAACTAGACCCACGTTGGGCAGTTCTCGGTCCCCGTCAGCCTCGAGGCCTCCGACTCAGGTTGAGCGGAGTAGCCCGGCCCAGTCAGCGCATGCTTCCCTGGATGTCTGGGTGCCCTCCATGCCGGAGGCCCAGCAAGCGACCCGGGACGTTATGTCTCTGCCGGTACCAGGGGCACCGCCACCATTGGCTCCCCGGTCCAGAGGCAAGCCATCGCTTGGATCGCTGCAGTTGCCTTCTGGTCGGTACCATTCGTGATCTCCTCCCTCTGTTCCGCAGGAGGACTCTAAAGCCCACCAGGAACTATTGAAAAGGGTGGCATTAAGCCTCAACCTTCAGGCCAAGGAGGTGGAGGAACCCTCGGCTTCCCTCTTCAACATCCTATCGGCCTCGGTACCATGCAGGGTGGCCTTTCCACTCCACAAAGGGGTGGCAAAAATTTCAAATGCCTTGTGGCAAACCCCGTCTTCCTTGCCCCACATCTCTAAGAGGGCAGAATGAAAGTACTTTGTGCCCGCCAAGGGGCATGAATACCTGTACACCCACCCTGCTCCCAACTCCCTGGTGGTCGAGTCGGTCAACCACAGGGAGAGGCAGGGCTAACTAGCCCCTACTCCGAAAAATAAAGACTCAAGGAGGCTGGACTTATTTGGGGGAGAGGTTTATTTGTCCTCGAGTTTCCAGTTAAGGGTGGTGAACCACCAGGCTCTCCTGGGTCGGTATGAGTTCAATTTGTGGGGCTCTCTACCCAAATTCGAGGACTCTCTCCAGGAGCGTGACAAGAAGGAGTTCAAAGCTCTGGTGGAGGAGGGTACAGCGGCTGCCAGGGCAGGCAGCGTCAGATGCTACAGATATGGCTGCAACGTCCATGGCCTCCGTAGTGTCCATGAGGAGGGCGTCGTGGCTCCTGAGGCACAGAACTCCTTGCAGGACCTCCCGTTCGATGGCAAGGCCCTGTTTGCGGAACAGACGGACGTGAAGTTGCACGGCCTGAAAGATTCCCGCACTACGCTTAAGACACTTGGCCTCTATGTCCCGGCTCGGGCTAGGCCCAAGTTTAAGCCACAGCAGGCTCCCACCCAGGCCACCCACTCTAAATACAAGCCCCCTTATAAAATGTCATGGGACTGTAAGAAATGCCCGCAGAGGCAGTCCCGGTCGGCCCCCCCAGCCTGGATCCTCCAAGGGTAAACAGGCGGGGAAATGTCAGTTTTGACAGGACACCTGGGGGCGACCTACCAGTTCACATCAGGGATCCACCCGCAATAAAGCTTCCCTTCTCCAATCGGTTGTGTGCTTTTCTCCCGGAATGATCGCGGCTGACTTTGGACCATTGGTTCCTCAACACCGTCTCCTGGGGCTACACCCTCCAGTTTACCTCTACCCTGCCCAACCACCCTCCGCCCCCATCCCTCCTGGGTGACCCCTTTCACAAGGCCCTGCTGGAGCAGAAGGTGGGGTGGCTCCTTGGCTTAGGAGCGGTGGAAGTGGTGCCAGCGGAGTTCAAACGCAAGGGGTACTACTCCCGCTATTTCCTTATCCCGAAGGCCAAAGGGGGGCTCAGGCCCATCTTGGATCTGCGAGGCCTGAACTAGTACATGGTAAAGCTCAAGTTTTGCATGGTCTCTCTGGCCTCCATCACCCCCTCCCTGGATCCTGGGGACTGGTACGCCACCCTCGATCTGCAGGACGCTTACTTCCACATTCATATATTCGAGGGGCACAGGTTCTTCCTCCGTTTCACGGTTGAGCGGGAGCACTACCAATTTATGGTCCTCCCGTTTGGCCTGTCCACTGCTCCCAGGGTATTCATAAAGTGCATATCTGTGGTGGCGGCCTACCTCAGATGTGGTGGGGTCCAAATCTTCCCCTATCTGGATGACTGGCTGGTCAAGGGCAGCTCCCGGTCGCAGGTGTGGGATCACGTGGCGCTTCTCCTGTCCATGTGTGCCACCCTGGGCCTGTGGGTGAACGACACCAAGTTCATGTTAGTCCCGGTACAGTGCATAGAGTTTATCGGGGCAGTCCTGGATGTGACGTTAGCCAGGGCCTACCTCCCACCAGACAGATTCGAGACCCTGAAAGTCACAAAGTTTCCTGTGACGACAGCCAGAGCGTATCTCCAGCTCCTGGGTCACATGTCGGCGTGCACATATGTGGTTCGCCATGCCAGACTCAGGATGAGGCCCCTCCAGCTCTTGTTGGCCTCGGTGTTCTCCCAGGCCAGAGACAGGATGGACAAGGTCCTCACTGTACCCGAGCCGGTGATCACCTCCCTACAATGGTAGTCCTCCTCGGCGAACATGCTCCACGGGGTCCCATTCAGGGGCAGGCCCCCGTCAGTGGAGCTGGTGTCCAACGCCTCGGACCTGGTGTGGGGAGCCCATGTGGGGGACGTTCAAACTCAAGGTCTGTGGTCCGCACAGGACCTTGCCCTGCATAAATGTCAAGGAGCTCAGGGCAGTCCAGCTGGCATGCGTGGCCTTCCGCTCGCACCTGGAAGGCAGAGTGGTCAGGGTTCTCATGGACAACACGGCCTCGATGTTTTACATCAATAGGCAAGGTGGGTCCCGCTCCTCTGCCCTCTGCCAGGAAGCCCTCAGGCTGTGGGACTTCTGTATAAGCCACGACATTTGCCTACAGGCCTACCACCTACCAGGTGCCCGGAACTCGCGGGCGGATTGCCTGAGCCAAGACTTCTCCTCTCCGCACGAGTGGTCTCTACACCCACAGGTGTTGCTCAGACTTTTACAAGAGTGGGGAACTCCCCAGGTGGACTTGTTCGCGACCCGGCAGAACCGCTGGTGTCCCCGGTTCTGCTCCGGGGGGAGGAGGGGAGGCATGCGGGTGCTATCTCTGATGCCTTCCTCCTATCCTGGTCAGGCCAGCTTCTCTATGCCTTTCCCCCCGATCCCGCTGATCAGCAAGGTTCTGGAGAAGATAGACGGACGGAACCAGGATCCTCCTGATTGTCCCGGTGTGGCCCAGGCAACATTGGTACGAGACCCTCACGAGCCTGGCGGTCACCCCGCCGTGGCCGTTGCCATCCCGCCCGGACCTGCTCTTCCAGGACCAGGGCCCCCTCCTCCACCCCAACCTAGCGGCACTCCACCTCATGGCGTGGCTGCTCAGTGGTTAGGCTGGGAGGAAAGGACGTGCTCGGAAGGGGTTCAGCGTGTCCTCTTGGAAAGCAGGCAACCCTCCACGCGTCGAGCCTACTTGGCAAAGTGGTCTCGGTTTTCCCGATGGGCGGCTGAGCGGGGTGTTTCCCCTGTGGCTGCCCCGATCCAGCTCATTTTAGACTACCTCCTTCACCTTAGAGCCCAAGGCCTGGCACCCTCGTCCGTCAAGGTGCACTTGGCCATATCTGCCTCTCACCCACCGGTGCAGGGGCACACAGTATTCTCCCATGCTATGACTGGCCGATTCCTTAAGGATTGGATCGTCTCTTCCCGTATGTTAGGCCCCAAGTCCCGCAGTGGGACCTGAACTTGGTGCTGTTCTGGTTGACGGGTCCCCCCTTTGAGCCGTTAGCTACATGCTCCTGGTCACACCTCTCGTGGAAGGTGGCCTTCCTGGTGGCGATCACATCAGCTAGACAGGTCTCGGAACTCAGGGCCCTGACCTCCGAGCCGCCGTACACGGTGTTCCATAAAGATAAGGTCCAGCTCCGCCCACATCCTTTGTTCCTCCCGAAGGTGGTCTCCACCTACCAGATGGGTGAGGACATTTTCCTGCCGGTCCTCTGCCCCAAGCCCATGCGTCCAGTGAAGAGCGCTGCCTCCACACGCTGGATGTGAGACGGGCTCTGGCCTTTTACCTGGAACGGACTAAGCCGTTCAGAAAGTCTTCGCAGCTGTTCATCGCATCGGCCGAACGCATGAGGGGTCGGCCAGTATCCACTCAGCAGCTCTCCAACTGGATCACCTCGTGCATCCATACCTGTTGCGACTTGGCAGGAATTCCCCCGCCGTCAATTGTGAGGGGACACTCGACTAGGGCGTAGGCCTCGTCGGCTGCCTTTTTAGCCCATGTCCCCATTCAGGACACTTGCAGGGCTGCCACATGGTCTTCAGTTCACACATTCACCTCGCATTATGCAATCATCTCCCAGACCAGGGAAGACACTGGGTTCGGCAGGGCTGTACTCCGTCCCGAGAGTTTGTGAACTCCTACCCAACTCCAACAGATATAGCTTGGAATCACCTACTGTGGAATACACATGAGCAATCACTTGAAGAAAAGACAGTTACCTTTTCTGTAACTGATGTTCTTCGAGATGTGTTGCTCATGTCTGTTCCACATCCCGCCCTCCTTCCCCTCTGTCGGAGTTGTCTGGCAAGAAGGAACAGGGTGGGGGGAGCGCGCAGCGCCCCTTATACCGCACCATAGAGTCGCCACTCCAGGGGTTGCTAGGGGTGCTCCCCTACAGATACTGCTAGGGGGAAAACTTCTGGCAGCGGTGCACATGGCGAGCACACACACCTACTGTGGAATAGACATGAGCAACACATCTCGAAGAACACCAGTAACAGAAGAGGTAACTCTTTTTCACTGTTTGCCTCTTAGAGGTGCTTCTGCAGAACTCCGATTGTAAACCCACAGATTTCATATGCATGGCTGAAAATACAGGGTTATATTAAGAACTGAGTTGCAACCTTATCCTGGTGCTAGATATTTTCTGAGCAATTACTCTGCCATTAAATGTAGTTTTTTGTAGTCTTAGTAGTATTCTCGTAGTTGGCTGAGTCACTAGCATGGCTCTTCTTCATAAGATGCTGAGCTCTACTGGCAGGGTTTTCAAAATGTCGTATCTTCTGGGATTTTTCAGCAGTAAGGAGATGCTATGGGATGGGTGTTCATGATATTTCCCATCATTAATAGAACTATGTAAGCTAATAACATGAATCACATATTCACAAGGAAAACTAAATATTATGTTTACTTCCCTTTGTCTGCTTTAAAAAAAAAATTGTAATTGACAGACGAATCCAGGAAAGGGATAAACAGTGGCTTGATCGAGTGCAACAGGAGGAAGAGTACCAGCGGCAAAAAAAACTTCAGGAAGAAGAAAAGCCAAAAAGGGAAGAAATAATCAAGAAGACAGACAGTGAGGATAAGGGCAAACAGGAAATGCAAGACAAACTGAATAAGCTTTTCCATCAACATCAAGAGCCAGCCAAGCCAGCCATCCAGGCGCCCTGGTCAAGTGCAGGTATGGAAGAGTAAGGAAATCTGTTGCATACAGCTGCTAAAACATAGACTCCTCCTCCTTACGTCCTGTCTTCTTATTCCATATGTTGGATATTCTGTATTCAAACTAAGTCACTAATCTTGTTTAAATAAATGGTTTAAGGCTTACATTGGCCACTGTGCATCACAGATCTCTTCTGGGCGCTGTTGCTCTCCCTACAAGTCCGGAATTTAATAGAAGTCACATAGGGAGTGAAGGGGACTGGATGAGATGCACCATGCAGCTTGGAGAAGAGAATTTAGTTGTAAGCTGGTGCTTGTCTCCAACAAACTATTATTTCTCAAAACAATGAGATAAAATAATGTTGCCATGTTTCACCTTTTAGAGGTGAAATTGCACTTCAAAAATAACTTTCTTCACCCCTGTGTACAGTTTGTATGCTAGTCTATAACATCTGCTTTGGGATCCTTCAAAGTAGAGGCAGTATGTAACTAGCTAGTCATATACAATTTAAAAAAAAAAATCCAAATTGTTTGGAAAAAACCTTAAAACCAGTTAAGGGGGAATAAATACAGTAGATGTTATCCATCAGCCATATAGTATTTGCCAGATGCGATTTAACGAGGCTGTAAAAGGTCACTATATGGATAATGACCATCTATACCAGGAACTTACTGATCAGGTTAATCCATTATGTCGGTGCAATGCTTCAAAACAAAACAGGGAAAGTTGTAAAATCATTGTACATGGTTTTAAATGCAGTTATTTTCTATATAAATAGCTGTGTGTTTCATAAAAGCTAAAAGCATATTATTTTAAATAGGTGGTGCTAAAGGAGAAAATAGAGAGAAAATGTAAGTTTAATTATTTGTTTGCTTATTTCCCCTTATGTAAAATGGGGATAGTACTTACTCTGCCTCTCAGGGGCATTGTGATAATTAACACTTTGCCTCTCATTTTTTTACCTCTCTTCTTCTAAAGTGTTTCACAAACATTTTTGTTTAGTTTTTAATATGTATTTTTCTTCCTCTATATATAGAAAAAGCTCCACTAACTATTTCTGCTCAGGAGGATGTAAAAATAGTATATTATCGGGCATTGTATCCTTTTGAAGCCAGAAGCCATGATGAAATCACTATTCAGCCAGGTGACATAGTTATGGTAAGAAGAGTGTGATGTTGCTTGGAAAACTGTACTTTGTTTTACATCTCTGCTTCTATTTTTATACTAGTATTTTATTCAACCTAACTTTGAATTTACATATACCACAAGTATTACAAGCAAGTTGTAAAGACTGAAATGTACAGTATGTGCTATCATTTATTATCTCTGCTGTTAGAATAATGAGAGAGGCAAGGTGGGTGAGGTAATATCTTTTATTGGACCAACTTCTATTGGTGAGGGAGATAAGCTGTCAAGCTCTCACAGAGCTCTTCTTCTAGTCTGGGAAACTTAGGTCTGTAATGTAGGACTGGCCTATGTCAGTATAACTATATTGCTCATGGGTGTGGAACTTCTACTGATACAGCTACTGCCAGGGAAGTAGATTAACTACGCCAACTGGAGAAGCTCTCCGGTTGGCATAGTAGTGTCTTCACTAACATGCTACAGTGGTACAGTTGCACCTGTGCAGCTGTGCCGCTGTACATGAAGACAAGACCTTACTCAGAGTGTCATAGCTAAATACAAAACAGAACAGTTTACCATAAATAGTAACACACATTTCAAGGGAGCATGCAAGGTGAAATTGCCTGTTTCCTCCCTGTGCCTTAGAGGGGTGTTAAGGGGGGTTGTTAGTGGGTTATAGATTGTTGTGCTAAACCATCAATCCAGTGTGTCTATTCAGTCCATGATTTTTAGTGACTAGTGAAGTTATGAATTTAAGCTCCCGGGCCATCTTTTGAAAGTATTGTGCAGATTTCCTTTGAGGATGAGGACTGAGAGGTCAGATATAGAGTGATCACTTTGTGAAAAGTGTTCACCACAGGTGATGTGGCATTTGTGTCTGATAGTTTTCCTGTGAGTTCATTCGAGAGCGTAGTGATTGTCTGGTTTCACCCACAGATTTGCTATTGGAGCATTTAGTGCACTGGATGAGGTACACGATATGTTGGGATAGGTATGTGTAGAACCCAGGGATCTTGAAAGGTGTATTTTGGAGAGTGTTGATCATTGTAGCAGGTTTTGCATCTGTTTTTCTGGCAGGGTCTGTCGCCGCTTTCATTTGTCCTAGCGTGTGGGGAGCTTGCTTCTGATTATGAGCTTTGAGAGTTTGGGGGGGCGGGGCGTTGTTTGGAGGTTTGAAGAGAGGGTTCAGGAAAGATTTCTTTCAGGATGGGCTCCCCATCGAATATGGGTTGTAGTTGTTTGATAATACCTATATGGGTTCCAGTATGGGGTGGTAGGTGACAAGTAGGGCTGTACAGTCGGGGAGGGGCAGTTATTTCTGTGTTGGAAGCAGGTTCTGTTTGGGTGGCCTGTTCCATGATGCGATCTACTTCTCTGGAGTGTCCTTGTTTGGTGAAGGCAGTTTTGAATGTATTATGGTGTATATCCTGGACTTTCTCCTCAGAGCATATTCTGTGGTTTGAGTGCCTGCCTGTAGATTAGATTTCTTGGTGTGTTTCGGGTGTTTACTGGATCTATGAAGATAGGTATAGTGATCTGTGGGTTTCTTGTATATGGTTTTTTGTAGGGTTCCATTGTTGGAAGCTGATTGTGGTGTCCAGGAAGTTGGTGCTGGTGTGGGAGTGTTCCAGAAAGAGTTTAATGGACGTTTGGTGGTTGTTGAAATTGTGGTAGAAATCTCTGAGGGAATTTGTCGTCTATCCAGAGGATGAAAATATCATGAATGTGTTTCAGTTTTTGTGGTGGATTTGTCCATGGGCCAACTTGAAGAATTTCTGAAGAGTTTTGCATATTGGGGAGCCATCTTAGTACCCAGGGTGTTCCCATGGTGTGGACAAAATGTGGTGGTGTTGAATGTAAAATTCTTACGAGTGAGGATGAAATGGATGAGTTTGGCGATGTGTTTGGGATGCATATCTGAGGGTTGTCCATTGTCTTGTAAATATTTGAGGCAAGCGGCTATGCTGTCATTGAGGGATGTTGGTGTATAGGGAGGTGACATTCATGGTGGCAAAACTGATGTTCTGAGGGAGGTTGTTAATGTTCCGGAGTTTGTGGAGGAAGTTGGTTGTGTCCTGGAGGAAGTTGGCCCTTTGTGTGTTGAGTGATTTGAGGATGGTTTCTATGAGTCCCAATAATACTTCATTAAGAGTGCTGTGGCCAGATATGATGCGTCTGCCTGGGTTCCCTTGTTTGTGTATCTTGGGAAGCACATAGAAGGGGTTCACGGGGGAGGAGTTTGTAGAATTTCTCTTGGAGTTGTTTGGGGAAGGATTTGATGATATCCTTAAATTTATGCGTTAATTATGATGTGCTGTTGTCTGAGTTCTTTGTAGTAGGTAGTGTCGGAGAGTTGTCGGTTGGCCTCAGTGTAGTCATCGTGGTTGAGGACTATGATGGTACCCACTTTGTCTGCTGGTTTGATCACTGGTGGTTAGATTTCAGGGACTGTATAGCTGTCCGGTCAGCAGTGGAGGGATTGTGGTGGATGTGATGTGATAAGATTAGAATAATGGTCAGTTTTCTTAAAGTTCGTTATAATGCAAGGTATAGATACAGTTTGCTCATCAGCTTTATCAGTCTTAGTATAATAACTCAGCTCTAAATGAGTTTGGTGACAGGGAAGTCCAAAGTGTCTGAACAGGTTCCCAAAGTCAACTAGTCTACAGTGAGACATTTGGTCTTGAAGACAAATAAGTGACACAATCATCACTGTCATAGTCACTTCTGAGGATGGTTGCTGTACCTGAAGGTCAGAACAGAGTATTAAAGATTTGTTTGGGCTATAAAGCCTATCTAAAACTGTAGTACTAAAAAAATGCAAACTATTCTAATTCCAATTTAAAAAAACTCAACTATATTAAGAGAATGTTACGGTTAAATTAATGCTATGTTAAACACTTATTCTGAGTTAGGAAATGACTACATTAAGGTCACAATCTATATGTTGTTATAAACTTTAATTACATGATGACCGTTTCTCCAATAATATATTTTTTCTACAATTTCTACTTTGTCATAATGATCCAGTATAGGTTTTCTTACTTGTTCATACAATAACTTTTCCTCTCAAGCATTTTCCCCTACTTAAAAATGGCTGAATTGTTTTGCTGAAACACTTTAAAAATTAATTTTTCAGGCAGGGACAAAGTAGAGAAAATATCAGTCTGACAAAAGGAAGTTTCAGAAAGCAATAAGCAACTGAAAACATTGTTGGGAGTCTAAATGGAATGGAAATGCTTATACATCTTTAATTGTAGTGGTTGGTACCACTGGGATAAATCTGCCTAAAAATACTGTTTTGTTAGCCTTAAGTAATACTGTGGAAGTATAACTTGCACTCTTCGTAATTCCTAAATCTTTTAAAAATTGTAACTGCAATTGTCAGTAACTATAGTTATTAATGTTTAAGAATATCTGAATAATTGGAATAAGCGTTATTAATATTGTAACATGCAAATGTCATTTTACAGTTTGAGAATTTTTTTAATGAAAATATTATGTAAAAATCTAGTTAATTTATGAAAAACTATAAAGCAGAAGCATTATGACTTTAATTCACTACTTGATCTTCCTTTCATAATGAGTTCCTTTTTTTAAAAAAACTGTCACACTCTGGTAAACTTCAGTTGGGTTTTGGAAAAATAAACTTTCTAAACTGTCATATCTTAATGATATCTAGACATTAGTAAAAAGAAGCTCTGATCAACCTTTTCTTCCTTTTTGATTTATTCAGCAATATCACAATCTGGTGTTCATGACATCATGAAGATTGGATTGTGGCATTACTGAATGATTTAGGAAGAGGCCCAAAACCCAATTGAAGTGCAGTAATTTCACTGAAATGTTGTCACTTATCCTTTAGTAAAGAAGTGAGGTTGGCAAGTCATCAGTCAAATGAGAAAGTATGCAGGCATGTGGGGCTCTCTAGGTTATTGAAGAATGGAATAATCCAGTTAATATTATATCAGGGAATAAAATGTTTGCTAGAGGTACAGGCATACACTGAGCTTTGCTTGAGGAAGACTAAACATCAGTTTACTAAATGGCTCAGGGGACATAATGAAATGTTGGAAAATCAGTATTCTGATTTCAGGGGACACTTCTCAATTTCAGTTCATGTTTTGGATAATCTGCGTTCACCTGCACATGACTTTAGGCTTCGCTTTTAGTTTATATTATAACAGGGAAAAACTGGCCTCTGGCCTTGGCTTATTTTTATTTAAATATCTTTAATTACTGTCAGAGCTAACAACTGATTCTAGTGGGATTGCTCTCCTGCTCGTTAGTAATTGCTTAATTTGTGAAATGTGTTATAATTCTGCCTTACTTTCAAATCATTGCTTTCCTGCTGGAGGTTAAAAGGGAATGGGTAAGTATGCTGTATGACTGTTAAGAAGTCTTCACAATCTTTTAATACATTTTTATAAATATAGCTTTACTGTCAAGTTACATGTTTTTTTTCAATTTATCTAGGGTAAAATTTTTGAGAGACTTAAGTCCCGTTGTCTAAAGTTACTTAAGCTCTTAAGTGCCTACATCACTTAAGCATTCAAAAAAAATGGCATGTCATGCTTCTAAAAGGTGTAAGTCAATTATAGTTTTTGGAGAGTAACAGTTTGCAAGCTTATGTGTTAAGATATGTCTAAGATCCTATATAGCAGGGATTGGCAACCTTTGGCATGCGGCCTGTCAGGGTAAGCACCCTGGCAGGCCAGGCCGGTTTGTTTACCTGCCGCGTCCGCAGGTTTGGACGATTGCGGCTCCAACTGGCTGCAGTTCGCCAGCCCAAGCCAATGGGGGCTGCGGGAAGCGGCGCAGACAGAAAGTTGTCGATCCCTGCTATATAGGCTGGCCTTATGACCGTTTAAATGCAAGTTAAACTCTGGTTAAACTTTCAGCTTGTCTAGGCCAACCAGTATGGACTGGGGTAAAACGAGCTAATAACAATCATGTTCTAATGTTGATGAAGGCCTATAGCGCTGTGATTTGGATTGGTCCGTGCTGGCTGGTGAGCACTATCCAGCTACAAC